AGCGAGGATTTATACACGATGATTTGTCACGTGGCATTACTAACGTCATTAGATAAACCAATATTTAACGATCTTGAACAGAAAACAAAAGTATGCCTTTCAATTGGTATCACTTTTCATGTGGGATGTAGCTTAAACCATGCCCTTTAAACCATTATGCAACAAAAAAGTACGAAGGCATGTTATTGTCACTAAAGCGAAATGGTAATAACTAAAAGGTGTTGCACATTTATAAACAAATAAAAAGGAAAATTCAAACTAGTGGTGAGATTTTTTTTTATTTAACTTTGCATGATAAAAAAGAATCGTGATTGAAACAAATTGATAACGAAATGTGGATAACCATTCTACTCATTGATATATCTGCTCCACAGATAGTTAGTTTCTTACACTTACCGCTAGTTCAAATTCTTCTTCTTAAACTTTGTAAAAAAATACAAACAATTCCAATTAGGGATCAAATAGCTTAAAGAAATGTATGATACTATTCAAAAAGATATATATCTGTTTTAGAGCGTTGTTTTTTTAGCTCAATATTATGGAGCTCAGATGATATAAGTTAATTAATAACAAAGCTTTTGAATGGCATACCGTGTAATATTACATAAAAATCCTGGTATTTTGGATTCCGCGACGAACGATGCATGCGCATGCATATTAATACGAACGGCGCTACAGTGTATTGTTATGAAGTTAAGCAAGCTTCCGGTCTTCTTTTAAATATTCGATAGTGTTAGAACAAAGTACAGCTCTCCAAATATCACAGACATTTACAAGTGAGCATCAAAGTTATTTCTTTTCATTCAACGATGGCTCTAAAAGTACACCGTAACTTAGAAATTGTTGACGTAATTGAATTTTCATAATTGATTGGTCATTCTGTTAGTCGTGTACACACTTAGCTGAATTTAACAGTATTAATAGACCAGTAAATATTTGCTACAATGGTCATTTAGTATAACTAAGGCTGACTGATCAGGCCAAACTGCTGCCGCAAAACGTAGAGCTTAATGTCGCTTTATTGGAGAAACACTTCTCACTGTAGCGGATTATATTTGTATTATAATTCTGATCGTATTAAAATTTGTCAAATATTGGAATTCAGCCGTACGTGCTGTGTTTATAATTAAGCGATTATTTTCTGGTAAGAAAACTATATTAATTTTATTATATGATTTTTGTTGTTAATATCTTTAATATTTTTTTCACCTGTCTTGTTTTAAGATCTAAATGACAATAAAATAAATGCAATAATTTTGTTCAAGTGATTAGTTTAATTGTAAAAAACATAAAAAGAAAAACATTTGAAGTTTAAATAAAAAGTAAGATCTATTATCAAGACAAGGCAATTGTTAACAAATAGATACATTAGCATATTTGCAATTTTCAAAACACACAAAAAAAAATCGTGGGGTGAGGGGCGGAGTATAAACTGTAGTTCTTACTTCGATTAATGAAACGATCATTCTTATTATGCAAGGAAATATTTAGAATATGCCTTTAATTATATTCTTTCCAACCATTTATATTATAGACATGTATAATGTAATGTTGATGTGATAATAATATGTAAAGCAGTCATATAATATTATCCAAACGTTCAGTACGTGTATAAATACCAGGTATATAATACATACACGTTTATTGAATCAAATGTTTTATGATTCAATGAAAATAAGACATTATATGTTCATCTTTTTAACTGCAATAGTTATATGAGTGGACTAAACATGCAAAAATATATATCAGTTCAAACACAATACATATTGCTCCCATAAGGTAAGAAAATGTTATATGCTGTCTGTATATTGTATGGTAAAATGATATAATATAAGTATGTTATTTATACTATTAGAATTAGTACATTATTTATAATAGAGCATAACATCAATGTCATTAAAAACGGCAATAAATCAAACTATACATGAAAATAACTGACTCATAAGCGTAATATATCATAGTGTGTGTTCACGTGTAATGGTTAATCACATAGTAGTGCTTAATTAGTGGCCTCTAGAGCTGTTTAAAACGCTTAAAAACACTTGATATGTAGGTCAAAGAATTGATATGTAGGTCACTGTTAATTGTTTAGTGAGGAGAAAAATAGGATAAATAACGTGGGTTTCGCATATTGAGGTTCTCTTGTTTTGAGTTACATGTTCCAGTAGTATTTATTGACCACATGTGCTTGTTGTGGACAACATCCATAAAATATGAATACTTAACATTGAGCATCTTCAGTATGAATGCTTTAATGTCTTTTATAAATGTATAACTGTTTATCGTGTTTTACCGATTTAAACCTAGTACATTTTGTAATGATATGTTTCCTCTAAAGACTAAAGTTATTAAATATAGCTCATTTTTTTCAAAACAAAATGAAATAAAATAAATATAAAATACGTGATTTATAAACGTAATGATAGTTCTCTCTGTTAAATCTAAATATCATAGTATATGACTGAATATGCTATTGTTAACTCTGTAGTGAATGTCGCTATGTTTAAAGTGATGTGACCCCACTGCAGATGTTTGCAAATTTGTATTTCCACCATATCATGCTTAATTGATGAATTATTTTTTAAGTCTAAACGGGGCGTGGCCTGTTGCTTGAATTTACTACTACCATCCATAAACAGACTCGATCAAACCGAGCTTTTAGTGCCATTCTTGGTTGTATTTAATAATTCCGTTCTCCCTATTTTGTTTAAGACACGATGTTTATTTTTGTTGTTATTGTATTTTTATACAGAGAGATTCGGCCTCTGTAGATATTTGCCATGTGTTAATTATATTTTTTCCTTCTGAAATCAGTTATTAAAATTATAATCCCGCAAAAATTCACTTGTAAAATGTAACCGCGCCCCGTGCTCGGTAATACCAATTACTGATGCAATGTTTTAAAATATACAGTAACACAAGAGCTATGTTTAGGCATTATAAATATTTACCGTAGTACAACCTTACGTATCTAAGCATGACTTAATAAGTTAACAATATCATTGCTTAAAATTCGCTAAACAATAGGATTAAAGGCGGTGTATTTGATCCGCCAGTAAGAAGATTACTGCATTGTTAATCTTAAGTAACCAAACAAAGCTCGAACGTTCTAGATTTAATAACAGAAATTACCCCAATTCTGACGAAACCTAATAAAAGTAGTTCATAATTTTTATGTTATGAAACAATTTATTACAAAAAGAGATGAGGTGATTGTGTCTATATTTATAAGATATCATATGTGATAAGATTTTGTTACTATACCCTTTTATTATCTAGCTTAATATAAAGACATATATGTCTACCTTGAATTTTGCATTGTCCACCATTTACCGTCTCGCTTTTTAAAGATTTTAATGATTATGTTGATGTATGCATATAAATAATATTTGATAAATGTTGGCCTTTATGAAACATTATATAAAAAATAAACAATATAAGAAAGTTGGCAATCTACGTCTTAACGATTATGCTTGAAAAAAGCTCATGTTAATTTTATGTCGATGAATTTTATACTGACTATATACATGTATATAAGGGCTTTTAAAATGCGATGTGAACGTTAAAATATTGTGCTCTGTATAATTTAAGAGAATATAAATCAGAACACACGGTGATTTTATAGGTTTTTATGTGAAAGGTGAAATGGCGGATGAAGTTTAAGGTCATGTTGGTATTGTAAAGGTCAACAGAAGTATAAGACTTTGTTCATTGCTGGTTGTAATAGTAATGTATCTACCTGGCTGCTATCAAAACAATTATATTTGCTTTGCATTTTCTTCAAACATTGTTTATATAAAAAAAAAATAAAATCCGAAAACTTATTACCCTAAAGTCAATGCAACGGTGGAGAAAGTTACACTGTCACCGTAAAATCATAAAATAAGTTGATTAACGGCTTAAACATGACCTTTAGGTTTTTAACATATGCCTTGCATTAAGCATGCTTTTTAATCTGTTCCGTATAACATGTTTTTATGGGCTACAAAATGTGCTACAAAACGGCGTACCGGTATATGGCATAAACAGCATTAAACCATAGTGTAGAGTAAGAAAAAAGAAACCAAATTAAAAGTATCTTTAACTTAGTGTACTAACATTCTTGATGGCCTACTAGCTGGACGTTAACTAAGGCCACTAAGGTCAAGTGATGACGAAATGTAAAATGAATTTGCATTTGTGTGAAATAAATTACTTCAATTTATAACTTTTGATTGATCTAACTCTATTAAAGCGACACCAGTGCTCGGCATTTCACCTTTTAGCGAACTATTTGACCGCTTCTTAATTATTTGTCGAAATTGAGCGCGTGGTTTGGTGTAAGGCACGAGTCTAGCTACTTTATTTGAAATCTTTTCTAAATTAACCGAGCATACTTAAATTAGACACTTTTATTTAGATAGACGCCCTTTATAATCTGTAGTGGCTCTTTCGGGTAAGATAAACTACTCTGACTTAGATATTTGCACTTGAGAGCAGGTCAAATTGACATGCTGTTAAAGGAATGACCCTTACGATGACCATTATCTAACAAAAACAAATACTAAAGAACGCTAGTGTTTCCGTTTCCTAATTAATGTAGTTTATCAACTGCCGCTACTAATTTCGGTTGGATATTCCATATTTCATTGTAAGTCTCTAGTCTTTCGAACACAGTCAACTAAATTCGTAACGTTTTGGATTCATTCAAATAGTATTTCATTTCTACAGCAACTGACCATTGATCACACTGGTGTGTATATAATTTAAGAAGAAATGGTTGAAATAATATAGTTGGTGATTTAGATAAAAACGTGAAGGATAGTATTTATTATCTTACTATAGAAATATATAACGGACTTATTTCTCGATAGATCAAAAGTGGAAGTGCCTTTAAAAACCAAGTTATTTATAGAAAAAAAGTAACAGACACTGTGATGTTTAGTCATTAGAATGTTGGCAAGAAAGAATTATTGAGCAATCTCTGAAAGTCTTAAAAGTTGTATAATTGTGTTTTTCAGATTCGAGGATGTCAAGATAATTGTCGAAGGTGAAACAGAATGACGCACAGGTTCTTCAGACTAGTCCCTTGTCTTGTGCTTATATTTGTCTTCAACGACCAGACTGTTAGTTTTGAACAACCTTCATGGCGGAACATGGACAAATTAAGACGGTCCAATTGTACAACTTGTAAAGAGAGTCTCGTGATGAACGTGCAAGAAGTACTCCCGCGTCTGACACTTATCAAACAGCGTATCCTGAATGCCATTGGACGAAATCCGATGCCTATAAATAGTTTATCCAATCAAATTAAGCCTTTTAAGATAAGACACGCCACGGATGTACAAGAAATACCAATGACACAGAGGCCCCCAAAGCGTATTGGATATCGTCTTAATGAGATTATAAGTTATTCAAAACCTGTTTGTAAGTACACCAAATTGTCCAGTATTCAAAATAGATAAGGTTGTTGTTCTTTATATATAATACATGTAACATAGAAATTAAACAACTGCTTTTCCGATAGAAAGTTTTTATATAGCAACAATTACATACAGAAGTTGCTAAAAGTTTGTTTCTCGCATCTAATATGTGTGTATATATATATATATATATATATATATATATATATATATATATATATATATATATATATATATATATATATATATATATATATATATATATATATATATATATATATATATATGCACTCCTTCGTGGCATTATTTACAAACTAATAAAATACGTATTGCATTACTTAAATTAACGACTTTCTTTTTTAGGGTTTTGTTGTTATATTGCATTTTAAAATAAAGAGAATTTTCCTTTTTGTAAAAAAGCGTTTTATTTCATCATTTCAGACAACGATCGAGGAGGAGATGTGTTGGAATTCAGTTTACACAGTAATAAACACTTTGAAAACGAGGAGGCACTTGGAGCGTCTTTGTTACTTTATGTCGATAGACGACGAAAAATTCGAAAAGGCGGAAAAGGAAAGAAAATTATATTAAGAGTGTCCCAGTTAAACGCAAACAATAATACGTGGGAATATTTGGCAGTGTTACAGACGAGAGTCAAAAAGAGACGATGGAAGCGAATAAGTTTACCAGTGAAATCTGCCCAACAACTTTTAGACTCCGACAAGAAGTCATTAGATCTAAAAATAGAATGTATAGGATGTGGTCGTTTAGTGGATTTAGTATTGAACAAAAGCTCTGGGACAAATATAGATATGTTAGATGCTTTCAAAGCTGAAAAGGGTAGTGATAAATTAAGAAGTGGAAAAAATTACAGAAAACGAAGACACAAACAGAGAAAGCAGCAAAAACTTTTGAAAAGAAGACAGAAAAACAGCGGTACTCCAATCTTAGTCATAAGTACACGTGTAGAAGTTTGACGGCGGCATTTATTACGTGTATGAATTCATAACGCCAATACGTGATGATGTATTATTTATTTACGAGTTGTCCTTGTGTTGTCCCTACGTGGAAAAAGACCATCATTTGATTCAAAAACCACTATATAGTTAGTGGGGTTCCTTTTTCAAGGAACTCCACTGAGTCCAAAAAGCCTGAAAATATAAAACTTGAAATCCTAGCATATAACAAGGGATCACTTAAATTTGAAAAATCTGCAAAATATACAAAGAGTTGAATTGTAAAAGTTTTTTGTACGATTATAATTCCGCGATTAACGAGAAACGTTGCAACGCTTTTTTTATGTTTTTTTTTGCCCAGTGAAAACACATTTTCTGGGAAAGCGGAGAGGGAGAATAATCTAAAAGTTTGCACAGAAACAATTGGTCTAGGCTTAATGTAAGGGTACACGCGTCTCGAAAAACATTTCAAATCCCTTCATGTCAAAAAGTATAAGTGGAGTCCTTCTAACTTTTAATTCTAATCGCAAAATGTTTTGCCTTGAGTATCTATTATTGACATGATTGTTTGTTCGGGTTGGTTGGTTGTCAAGTGGCACAAAGGTTATACGGCGACTTTTCAGCTTTACAGGAGAAGGAAGACTTCGGGAACACCTCCGTTAATTATTTTAAAACACGAGCAGGCAACTAAGGTGAACTAACAGCGCTCCATAAGCCAGCTGGACATATTCTCTACATGAAAGAAGTCCCTGGTTGGATTTGAACCCACACTAATCTGTCTCATTGAATCTTATCTTACAAATTATATTAATTAGTTGCATGTATTTTCTTCATACGTGACTCTAAACATTAGTTCTGTGTGTTAATTATTTAAGCACAAACAAAAATCTATTTCTTTTCATAAATGATACAGATATACACTACAAATATAATTTGTTTTTGTTCGTTTAAATAAGCTGACCAAAATCATTCAAATTATGTACAAGTAATTGATTATGTAAGAAAATAAATTTTGTTTTTTCTTGATGTATTTGTTATTTTATTTGTATCAATTGTCAAATAGTGTTTGTCATTCACTGATCTTCGTGATAGAGATGAGACTCATCGGCTCATAAACACAAAGGCGAAAATTTGGTTGAAGTTATACTACGTATACGGATGGACAGGTTGCTCGGTAAATTGAAATCAAAACGGGACCAGAACATTGAATATTTAAAACATTGAATATTTAAATCAATGTATGCAACTTATTTAATCTTAAAAAACTTAAACCTTGTTATATTTGTAAGTAAATGTAGTGTCCGTTTATGAGCTTTCCAAGAAAATATGTACAGTAAACTCGCCCTTTTCGAACCAGTTCCTATACTTTTGTTGAATTACGTTGATAGACCAAATGGTCGGAAATGATTTATCTAATTCTGCTCATAGTGACACAATGCCGTTAGCTTTTCCCTTTTTTTCAAAACAATTTAAATAGTCATATTCACTGGGTGAAGTATCATATTCACAGGTTGAACTGGATTTTCCCAATCTGAAAATAGGTTGATATACATATTAAATGTCCATACATCGTAGACTATCAATTACGCGCGCGCATAAAAATATTGTTGCGTTTTATTCTTTGTGTATAGGTTAGTGTTTATTAGTAAGCATTTACAAGATTATATTGGTCAAGAACGGGGCAACCCTTTCCCGCTCTTTTTATATGACAGGTAGTATAATTACTGAGATACACTTGTAGATCTCCTCTGTGGTTGACCAGTGCCTTCTACATCCACTGCTTGTACAAGCAAATCTGGACCTGATTTCGGGCTTTGGTCTGATGTTACACATGTGCAAGACATTTTCGTTCTGACAACTTTCATAGGTATGTGCCGGTTTCAGTATTGCATCTGAGATGTCTTTAGAAAGGGGGTCGAACGTTTAGCGGTGCGAAAATTCTTTAAGCGAGGTGAAATCATGCGATACGGAATAATGGCCATGAAAGTCGGCATGAGCATTTTCCCCCAAATATTTGTTGTATATTGTGATTTCTTGAAGAATAGCATTGTGCATGCTGATCAGAACTTAACATTTTGCATGATCGTCAAAATAAGATATAAAGTAATGAGGAAGTTATTGAGGTATTTTTGTGCTGCAAAATCAACCGTCAACCTGGTATGCACATACAAACGAATACAGTATCAGTAGTTTTAAAACGAGTATTCGATTAGTTAAAGTCCCAACATGCTTAATTTTGATAACAAAACGATATAGAAGAGTAGTTTTCCGCATCCTTCCGAAAATGTATACAATTTTTCTTACTGCAAGCCTAATAATTGGTCTTATTGGAGAGGTCATCAGACCTCTCCACAGTGTTCAGACTGATTGCTGGCGGCATCCATTTTTGCGTATCTGATTGTAGTGAATGAATCTCATTTATAGCGTATACTAATTAGGAGCAGTCTACAAAAATTGTTTTGCGCATGCTCCGTTTCAAAATACGACTTAACTTAAACGAAAAATTAACATCGAAGTGAACAAATCGGCACGTAGAAAAATCGGAAAATATCATTTACGTCACTTAGCGCTACGTGGATGTTTCATTCTGTTTTAAACATTTAAATTGTATAAATTAATTACCGTATTGTTTCTTAATAGCGTTTTACTATTTCATATTCCGATAAATAGTAACAATGAACATAACAGGTAAAATATCACCATGCACTATAATATGACCGAGTGAACCGTGTACCGAAATGTTGCTGCTCCTTAAACTTTTTAACCGGTACGACTAAATAACGCAACGGAGATTTTTTGGCGCAAATGACGCAAATTTTACTCAAGATTTTCGTCAAATATTAATTGTGGTTGGAGGCATGCAGCTTTACATACTGTTTATTCAAATCAAATGATACTAACATTTTTTATGTAAATCTGGGACTTAGAATACTTTATGCCTGTTTTTGAAAATGTAGAGGAAATATTTCCATATACTTACCAAAATATAACCGAAAATTTGCTTATTTAATTTTACAAGAAACTTTTATTTTGATACTTCTTTTAATATATATACATGTGCATATTATTTTAAATTTAGTTTGATGACATAACATAAATTATTCCCTTTGTAGAAAAAGTATCCCTTAAGCGACAAGAAAAAAGTCCATTTCTCCGGCATATAATCTTTCAAAACATTTAAAAAAAATGAAGTGTAAAACAAACTTTCATTATGATACTGTATTCAATGTATAAAATAAATTCTATTTTGTTAAATAATTGTAATTTATAACCATTCATTGTGTCTTTTATGCAAAAATATCCCCAAATATTTTCGAATTAAACAAATCTCCTACAGCAGCAAAAAGACCTCTCACATCCTTCTTTTTAAAGAAGCAAACTTGTAAAATAACTGTACGCACACATTTAGTGTGTTTTTCTGTAGCGACGGGGACTTCCTCATTACAGTACATTCTAATTCAATATTGATGAAATATCAAGTTTTGTGTCTGTATGTTAATCATATGTAAACCACAGTGTCAATAAAAACAACACTGTCAATTAATGTATTATACTACGATATAGTTAATTTAAATATTATTTTCTCACAAAAGTTAAATATTAAGATTAGATAAGTTATTTCACAGGAACTTGAAATTCTATCAAATAACCAGTAGTAACGATAATATTCGTTTTGTTTATTCCATTCATTCAGTAAAGGTTTTATCTATTTTTATTACATATTTATGTTATCAGAAAACAATATCAAAATTATAATTCCGTTGAACGAGAATATTTTACCTTAGACCTTAGTTTTCATAAATTTTCACCTAAATCATAAGTATATCCTCATTAATGATGAACTGCAATACAATTTCCATCTAATTTCGCCGAAACACTCGGATGCAACTGGAAATAACATCGCAAATATTCTAAATCCCCGCCATTTGTGGTCGATCGCTTTCATTCGGAAGTAACTCATTTGCATACGGAAAAGTTCGGAAATGATATAATTAGAAACATAAACAGACTTGCGTTTTCGTTTTACTTTATGGATTTATTATTACTCTATTTACTGATTGATGTCAAATGTTCCTCTTTAGGTTTCTTTTTTAAATTTCAGAATAAGATCGAAATTGTAGAAGTGTTTTTCAAATACTTTTTAATGCTTATTTACACTCCACTTCTTTTAGCATGTTTCATGACACATTTTGGACTGTTGTTAAAATAACAATAACACAGATTAATTGAACATGTATTTGAACATTGGCAGTAGCAAAACAACAATAAAATATTTTCAAATAAACAGCAAATCTTCTTTTTCTTACTCTCAAAATTGTACACCAGTGACACCTTAATCAATGTTGTTTTATAATGAAGAGAAAGTGTGAAGATGGCCAATAGTGTAGGAGGAAATAAATAATATTTTAATTCCAACCAAACTGTATAAACTTGTGCTTACCTCTTATATCAGTTTAAAGGTATTTCTATTTTTAGCTTTCGCGGCCCCTAAAAGGGGCCAAACAAATTAATACGAGCAAACTTGATAATAAAACACTACCTAAAGAATGCTACAGACAAAGTTTTGTGATCATCCATCAATTATTTCAGTAGGAGATGATGTTCAAAGGTTTTTCTACTTTTTAGCTTAAAGGGGCCAATCAAATTAATATGAGCAAAGTTGATAAAACACTACCTTAGAATGCTACAGACAAAGTTTGGAGATCATCCAAACTTTTCATTTTGTTTCACTTTTCATTGCTGTTTTCATTGGTGAAAACAGCAATATACGAGAAGTGGATCTAATATTGTATTACACGTACTGGTCTGAAAAAAGCGCCTTCCATCCGCTCTTACGTTCATTCAATACCTTAACATGTACATGTAATAAATTGTGTTGCTTTTTTGCAATGGAACTTTAAATGTTAATAAAAAATACTGGGTTGATTTCCGTTATGGATTGGATCTTCTATATATAATATCATTTAGGGTCAAGGATTAAAGCCATTTATTTTAGCTTTTACTATACATGCATTTTTTTTACAAATATTCTTACTATTCCTACTATAATAAAATTAAACTGAAAAGTGTATAAAAGTTGCAGAATGAATTGTACTACATCACACCGTATTACCGGCGGCAGTGATGGCAGATCACTGCAGTGATGGCAGATATCTGAAAATTACCGATCGGTACAGGTAGGTTATAAATTTGGTTGGTTTAATTATATTACACAAATACGGCCCATATCATTGCTATAAAACTATTGTCCATTGAATGGAGATACTGTAAGGTAATTTTGGACTCTTTATTTCCTGTTTTAAGACTATTTTGAGTAGGTTAAAAGTGACAGCCTCGGAAAAATCCGTGAAATTGCCTGTTTTCTGTTCAAAATATCTCAAGTTTTAAGTAAATGGCAGGATTTCCTGTTATCAATATAGACAATCATCCATTGGGGTCACGCAAGCCAAATATCTACTCCGTGAGTCATTTCATGAAAGTTTTACAGACGCTCAATCTTGTCCGGTCGAAGAAAAAATGCTGCCGTTGTAGGCAGATACATATTATAAATGCTGCCGTCGATGGCAGAAATACCATGAAAGTGGCTAACAGTCTGACAGAAAATCAAGGTCAATCTTTTATCAATTCCTCTTTTCTTTGCGTCCTTTTAGTCGGAATTAAGACGTTAAACTATCATTTCTAATATTTTCTCAAGATAGAAAAGTTATTAATGCGGTATGTGCATCGAAAAAAGCTTTTTAGCAACATGCAGCTACAATACAAAAAGTGATGATTTAGTACGACAAAATTGCACTATAAATAGAGAAAATGAACATTTAAAAACTTCATTTTCCTATATTTCATGCACTGTGTGCTTGATCTGTTGTGTATGTCAGTTACATGCATACAATACTATATGTATCTTAAGTTTAGCAGCGCACTCCCTTTTTAAGACATAACGCCAATTGCATATTACAGCAAGTAACTTCTGTAAGTGGATATTCATTTGCTAGCATATGACATTATTTT